GGAATTCTGCCATTGCCTTATAATTTGAAAGACTTGGTCATACTGAGTAGGATAGGGAGGAAAAGGTATTAGCAGAGGGCCAGGGTTTAGCTCAATGGGGTCAAGCCTGCCATGGCAAGCACAAGGTCCTGAGGTTCAATCCCTGGTACCAAAAAAAAAAAAAAAAAATGTTAGCAGAGAAAAGTTGACTAGTTTTGACAACAGGCCAAGACACCTGTATTATTGAAATGTAAAAGGAAAATATGAACACATAAATGTTCAGTTGCCCATCAGATACTTAAAAACGCCTTCTTTTGGTAGTTGGATTGCACCTGCTGGATTAGATTAGATTTTGGCCAGATGTGTTATACAAACAGAAAAATGCTTTGACCAATGAGCAAGCAGCTGTGACTGAGCACAGTTACTAAGAAGCCTACTGCAAACCTTTAGAGACAGTGCCCAAACTGCATCTCAAAACCCATTTGTTAAAGTACTAACACCACAGTTAAACTTGAATACTGAGGTTTTAGTTTAGAAAAAACAACGTATACAGTAGCATTTTTTGTTTTAAAAACAAATTACACGTATGCCATTGGTTTGCCATGACTGGCCTCAAGATAGCAAGGCAAGGACCTTGATCTTTATTGGGGGGTGGGTACTGGGGATTGAACTCTGGTCCTTGAGCTTGTGAGGCAGGCTGTGGAACCATTGAGCTAAATCCCTGGCCCTGATCTTTTTTGATACTGGGAATTAAATCCAAGTTTTTATGCAAGTTAGGCAAGCAGTCTTACCATTGAGTTAAATCCTTAGTATCTTTTAATTTTATTTTGAAGCACTTCATTTGTCCATCTGCCTCAAACTTGTGATTCTCTTCTCACCTTAACCTGAAGTAGCTGGGATTACTGGTGTATGCCACTTTAGATCGAAAAAGAAATAAGTTGTTCTTACTGTGATGAGACAGGCATTTGTTCTTCAATGGATGTGGTTATAATTACACTTGATATAAACTCAATACATAAAATTAATTAAAGATAAAGCAGGAAATTGGAAATGAGAAGGAAGGGCAAGTGCAAAAGGAAAATTGCACTTTCTTGCTTCGCAGCCAACATCAGCCTCCAATTCTTCTCTGACAGTTCTTCTGTCTAACAGGCCGAATTAACTCATGTGTTTCTTCTACAAAAGCCCAGGTCCTCTGGTAGAGACTCAACCATGGGTGTCTACAGGATGGTCGTACTCCTGATTAGGGAAACTTACAGATCGCTGTCTCCTTCCAGCAGCGGGGAAGAGGGGCAGCTCTAGAGATAGCGGTAGGTCTTAGAGGTGATATAGGCGTTTATGGCACAGTTGTTCAGGGTGACCGTTGCTCTTGGCCAAAGCATAGCAAGCGGTCCTTGATAGCAGGCACCAGCAGCAGTGTTTTGTCTCCATGAGTTCCTTGGCCTGGGCTGCAACCCTACCCCACTTAGTGCTGCTGCTGCAGCTTCCCTCTTGAGGGTCACTCTGTCCCCATTGGCCCTTCCATGTCATTGACAGTATCAGCTCTTTGGTGGTTTTTCTTCTTCAAACATGTCCCCCCCCCCAACGCACAGCGCTCCTCCTGCCTCACTCTCCCACAGTGCTGGGATTATAGGCATGCACTACCATGCCTGGCTGGTGTACTCTCTTTTTCTTGCCTTCTTGTTTCATTGGCAGTTATCAGTCACCCTCTGATAGTCCATGTTTTATTTGTCTACCCCAAATAGAACATAAACTCCATTAAGGCAATGGTTATTGCTAGCTGTCTAGAATAGTGTCTGGTGTACAGTCCAGCATTTGGTTAAGAAATTGCTTTTAGAAGGAATACAGGAGACTTTTGTTTTAAAGAGAAGACCCATATACTTTGAGATGAAATATGCACATGACAGGGATGAATTCTCTTAAGAAAATTGAAAACGTTCAACTATTCCCTTTCCTTAGCTAAATTAAAAATAATTTCATTTTATCTTTATTACGGAAATAGGTTGCAAGAGGGCCAGAGATTTAGTTCTGTGTTTCTGCTGTCTGCCTCGCGAGCTCAAGGACCCAAATTTGATCCCTGATACCAAAAAAAAAACATGATTTTGACTTAGAACATTGTTAAAATGTTTTGAAAACATGAAATTAAAATGAACATCTTTGCATATCTTTATGAAAAATAACCTTCACAATTGTATATAAATTAGAAAAACAAAACAAAATTTCCAGGGAAGCTAAGTACCTTCAGAACCACCAGCTGGAAGTAGAAATGAGGATAAAGTTGAGTTTGACTCATCTTTTCTGTGTGATCATGTGTAATGCTGAGCACACAGGACACACAGTAAATGTTGAACCGACGGGTAATTGATGTGTTACAGATGTATGAACAGATTAGTTACACCTGAAATGTGAAAAATGAGGTGTGCAACCACGTGTGGTTGGTGGGTTGTGCAGTGGCTGTCAGGTGGGGTTCGGGGGTGGCAGAGTGCGAGAGCACTTGGTACACGAGAAGACCTGGGTTCAGTTTTTCACACATAGTCATACTCATGTTCTTTCATTCTCAGTCTCTGTCTGTGTCTGTTTTGGAAAAGGCAGGAGGAAAAGCTTGTGTACTGAGGGACATGGGGAAAAGTGTGGCTCTGAGTGGTTAAGGAAAAGAGGAGCCAGAATTACAGGGGTTGGAGAAAGGGTAGATCCTGTAAGGTTTTGTAAGCCCCAGGAATAAGGTTAAAATATTTTGGAGTTGATTCTGACAATAAGAAGTTGTCATTAGAAGTTTAGAAGTTTTTTGTTGCTTGCGGGGTTTTTTTTTTTTTTTTTTTTTTTTTTTTTTTTTTTT